CCAATTTACCTTTTTTGCTTCCCATTCTTAATGTGTGATTACCTTTGTTCCTGTCATTGCTCAAACTCAACCACTTCGCTCTGCGTAGTACTGCTCATTGTCTCAAACTTATAACTGAAGGGTTAAAGGATAAATATAGTAGAATATGAGATATATGATAACATATATGTATATTTACGTGAAGCAACAACTATTCTATAGAACATACTGTCATATAAGACTTGTTCAATGGGATACAAAGCTTCTATGGTGGATATGGCTTTAATACCCTACTTATACTGCATAATTTTGGGACGGCTTTTTTACTGTTTCTTAAAGCAGCTTTGTTAATTTTTGTACTCGAAAGCTGCTTTAAGAAACAGTAAGAAAGCCATCCCAAACGAAGTCTCAGTCTTTATATAACTGGGTATATGATAAGCAGTTTGTTTATAGGAGAAATGGTTGTTCTACCAGGGAGTGCTTCTGAGAATATGCCTGATAAGTAATGGTTCTCTTGAGGGAGTTTCGTTTCGTCCTGTCATCTTTGCCTCGGTTGGTAACCTCACGTGTCTAGGATCATACAAAATGACGTGAGATGTTGAAGCTTGCAACCATTTTAGTGTCTGTGTTTGGATGCCGCTTTAGAATCAATTGTGCAAGATAAGAAGGCACTTATTCTTTAAGAAATTTTTTGGTATGAGGATCGATGTAACTAAGGCTTTAAGTAAGCCCACCCATAATTCATTTTCCAACTTGTTTGTATGATTGGTATGAACAGCGGTTTTGTATAACAGAAGTGCAGGTTTTTTCTAAACGAAAGCTTAACCCAGTCTGTTGTCGCTTAGGGTTCATTTGGTTGCGTGGAAGGGCTTATTTGGTTGCTTACAATTAGAGAAATTGCTTCAAGAAAAGGTGAATTCGTTTTCACTTATTTTTGGGTTTGAAAATTAATCTCACTAATGGGAGTTTTGAGGGAGTTTATACTTTAAATCAATGTTAGTTTCCAACTAATTTCAACCAAATAATAAATTTGAGAAATTTCATTCTTCAAACACGTTTTCAAACTTTAATTAACCAAATGAGTCCTAAATTGAAAATATGTTTTTAGAAAATTATGGTTTTTTTCACTCATTTCGAGTCTGAGAATGAAATCATCATTTGTTAATCCTGCTCTTTGGTTCCCTTATTCCCAGTCGTCAAACTTTGGGCAACCTTAAAGCTTCCACACCAAAGCACATCCATAATCAGATAATCCTGCCGCACATAGAAAATCCGTTACCGACTAGGGAGTGGTTGTTAAATCATTCAGGAGTTGTTTAATCTTTTTGTAATCTCTTGCATCCTGATAGGAAACACTCCACCACAACAGTGAAAACTGTTGTTTCCAGAGAAAAACAGCAATAACAGACCAGAAGAACTCAAGAAAAACAGCAAAAAGAGTGAAAAATCTGAGTGAAAACACTTGAAATTCAATAGTAGTAGAAGAAAAACAGCAGATACAATTGATCCTCCATTCTAGTGGAGGATCTTTCTCTCTCAAATCTCTAGACGCCGCTAGAGCCCAAAAGAAAACCTAAATATAAGAGATCTCAAATTTCAGCCAAATTCAAGATGTCGTAACCCAGGAAAACAAACTATTTAATGCATGCAAATGAAAATAAATCTCTAAACAGTCCCTACATTCAAATTTCCCTCACAAATCCCTCAAAATTCTTTCCCAAAAAGCTCCTTGAAACCTGGCGGCTTGATCGGCAACGCAGGAAGCGGAGAATTTCGGTCTCAGTTGCATCTGGGCCGGTCCCGTGTGGACGGGCTGGATATGGACCGGTCTAACACATCCATCCCAACTCACCAAGTAACTTTTTTATTTTCGAATTAATAGAACAAAAATCTTTATAACTACTGAGGTTTTCTTCGTGCATAGAAAAAGTGGCAGTAATCTTTGTACTTTCAATTTTTTAACGATACTCTCCTAATTGCTTAAACATTATAAATCTTTTCATTGAACAGCTCTCGAGGAATGGAGGAAAAGGAAGATGGAGCGAGCAAGGCAACGCCAAATTGAGAGAAACACAACCATCACATCTCAAACCTGAATAACATCATCATATGTAATCATGCAATTTCTTTTACACATTTGCAAGCTGTGTGGTCAGAAGTTGAATGGTCATACTGTCCACGGTTCCTGTATAATTGAACTCGTAATTACTTCTTGGTGTAGAAATTGTTATTCTGATATGATATGAAATGAAATAATCCATTTTAATATCCAGAGGTCTTCGCCTGTAATGCTTTTTTGTCACATTTTTATTGCAGCCAAGAGATCATGTTGCCCCTTTCTGTCAGGATATCATTGTGTTCTGCTCTGCCTAAAATTTCTATTTTGGATGAAATAGCACTCGAAATATTCAGAATAAGCAGTTATTAGCGAACTAAACCTTGTTATCTCAGCATCTTACATCTTTGAACAAAGAGCAGCAGAGAGAGCCAAGTAATGTTCATTTCTTCTTAGATTTACACCAAGATTTTCTCAAGCTGTATTTAAGCATTCTCCTTGTAGCTCATCTGGTCTCATGCAGGGATCTGAGACGAAGAAGAAATGACTCAGGACCATGGAACTGGTGTTGTTTTTGCGTGTGTCAATGAACAACCAAAGATGCATCTCATTTAGGAAAAATGATTAGGCGCGGAGTGCGCACCGTCCGCATAAGCACTGGGTACCTAACGGTACCCAGCAGTACTCAGGGTATCCAGTAGTACCCAGCGGTACCCAGCAGTACCCAGCGGTACCGAGTGCGGGTACCGCTATGTACCCAATGCTTGTGCGGACGGTTCTCCCCGTACGCACTCCGCACCTAATAATCTCTCCTGATTTAGGTTTCGGTTGGGATAGTTTTTTACCACTGCATTTTTACTAAAACAACATCAAGCCTTTATCCTACTACGTGGGGTCGGTTACATGAATCCATTGCATTTTTACCGCTTTTAAAAAATATTTTACATTAGAAAATTGTTTTATAAAACAATAAGAAAGTATTCCCAAACAAAGCCTCAATCTCAAGCTTTGCCAAGACATTACTCAGTAAGTTCCATGAATTAATGAATGAAAGGTTAAGCCCTATTCGTTATCAAAAATGAACTTGATTGGATATGAATATCACTGCATATTTGAATTAAAAATTTTCAAATTTAGATTTAGGATTATTTATAACTCTTATTTCAACAATTTTGTAATTGAATCGGATGTTTTGACAAATGAACTCAATGATAAAAAAAAGTCGTCCGATACGAATACGAATATTTTCACGCCAAGCATTTGAAGTGTGATAGGAAACTTCAATGCACTAATTAGAGCACCAGAAGATTTTCAAAATTTGCATGCTTATAACCAAACCAAACATCTCAATGAAATGAATATAACAAGCTTAAAATCATCTAATTATAACATCATTAAAGTAATTAAATAGTAAAAATAATAGTTTATGATCGAGGAAATTAATGTCGGTTGTCTGACAGAGCGCATAAGATTTTTTACTTTGGTTTTTTTTTTTTGCAACTCTTTTATCTATATGTGTTAGATTTTCATATTAAGCTAAGACATTAACATCTCTCTCTCCACCGTCTTCAATGTTTTGGCACATAGCAAAACTAGTCTTGAATCAACTCGATGGATCATTAGTAGGCTCATTCAAACAAAATGAATATTCTCTATTTAATGTCATTTAAGATAAATAAAATGTAAGTGTTAATTGCTATTATAAATATTATGTATTTCAACCCTCTTTGAGTATAGAGCGAATTTCTCCAAGCTTTTAGTTTTATTTTATTTATTTGTTCGGAAATTTATATATACAACAAAACTGTTCTATATTTACATATATTAAACTTTTATATTTATTTATGTAATATTAAATTTTCTAAACCATATAAAAATACTATTAATATTAATTTATTTAAAATAAGATATATATTTGATATGAATTAGATATAAAATTATTATATAAATAAATATATAAATTTAAATAGATAAAATTTGTAGCAGATTTATAATTTATTAAAAAAAAAAAAATCTAAAGCCAAAAAATAATAAAAGAAAAAAAGAAAAAAATGCTCCCGTTATCTCCATTCTCACCAAAATCGCAAGCTCGCCTTATTCACGGTACCAAAGGCCAAAGCTATTGCAATGGCGATCATCTCCATGTTCTCCTCTTCTCTCTCCCTACGACCTCATGGATGTCCCTCCGCTCCGCTCCACCCTTCCTCCTGTTGCGTTAGAAGAGCGTCAGTGGGTTACCGTTATCGGTCTCTACAGAAGAAGACTGCTTTGAAAAGAATAGTTAGGGCAGTAGCGGAGGAGGAAACACTAGCTTCGGAAGCAGAGCCTACGCCGAAAGTGGAGCGGACGCCCTCCGCGGAGCAAGCTGTTACTGTTCCAGTTTCGCCCTCGGATTTGCTAACAATGTTCTTCAAGGCACTGTTTCTAACCTCGCTCCCAAATTATTATATATGTGTGATTTTCTTTTTTTTGATCGTATATTTGGGTTCTATGATTTTTTATTTTGTATGCTGGTTCTGCAAAGGCTGAGGGAACTATGGACGACACGGCAATATCAAAACTCTCCAATGCTTTAGAGGTTTTTAATTTATATCTGAGGAGAAACCTTTCAAAATTGATGCTTGTGTTTTTTTTTTTTTGGAGAACAAGTCTAAGATGATGTACTTTGTTATTGTTATTTTAGGGGAAGGAAGGTGTCGGTGATTTGAAGGTGCAAAACCTAGAGGGAATTGCAAGCGTTGAGGTAAAATTCAGTTGAGTCTTTTTTTTTTTCCTTTGTCAGTGATGCTTCAGTCATGTGTTAATTCTACTCACTATTGCTTAATTTTTTAATATCAACTTATGGAAATTTGTATGGTTTTACTTGTTCAGGTTCAGGATTTATGTATTATATGTTTTCTTTTTTAAATTTAAAATGATCAACTTTATGGTAGATAATGCCTCAATATATTAGATGAGATGATATTAATTGTATTTTGGGATTTCTATTGGGTCCAACTTCATTTGTTGTCTTTCTTGCATCAAACCCTTTTCTTCATTATCATTGGCCAAAAAAAAAAAAATCTAGCTATTTGTGGCCTGCTTTTTGAATCCTCAATTTCATTCATTCTTACACAAGCCCATTCTTCACAAATTTTTACAAATAGCTAGCGTCAACCACTTTGGTATGTAATACCTTAATGTAGTAAAAGACATGCTGTTTGTTTGCTGTATATTTCTTGTGTTCTAAGATTGCCATTGGATCCAAGTTTACTTCTCGTTTCCAACATCAGATCATTTTCATTATTGTCATCATGATCATTATCATTATACTTGTTGCATGTGAGAAATTGAGTTAGTACAAAGAACATTGATCTTAACTATTGTTGTAGAACAAGAATGGCTATTTTCGTGCAAATTTTAGAACTTGTCCCTTTATAGTAACTCTACTGATTTGAAAATCATTATCACCTTTATTTTGATAGAAGAATGATTTATATTATGAACATCATTCAAATTTTTAAAAATCAGTTATCATAATTTGACTATAGAAAGAAATCTTGTTTCATTTATGTATGAAAATGAAGCTATAATTATTAACATACAATTATGAAAAGTATTGCATTTTACAATCATCATCATCAACATATTAAAGGACGTTAATTGGCATTATCATTATTGTCAGAGGTGGAAATTATCAAATATTCATCACCATCATCCAAATATAGAAAGACATATTTTTTTGTATTGTTATAAAATAATAATAAAGAAAAGATTTTGCTATTTGTCTTCTTTATCAAGTAAGGAGCATTCAACAAGAATTTTAATCAACATGAAACCACTGACTTTCCAAATAAGCTCGGGTGAAATTTAGAAAGAAGGATCATGAAGATTTTTGCCTCCCCTTTCTCTCTTTCTTGTATGGAACCATATATAAGAAATATAAGTTTTGGGTGCTTTACAACAATGGATATATTCAATTAAGGGGTTGTTTGGTTGGCTGCAAAGTGAATGTAGAGTAAAGTAAATGCAGTGTAAAATAAATGTAGTGTAAAGTCAACGCATGAGGCTGTTTGGTTGTCTGTAAAGTGAATGCAGGGAAACTATTTTTCTGTTTATTTAGATGTATGCAGCGTAAAGTAAAATCAAAGGCCCATTCGGATGAGACATTTAATCGAGCACCTAGTGTGCCTATTCCCAAACACAGAAGACACCTTGTGACTCTAGGTTCCCACAAGCGGTGGACTGGCCATCCCGCAGCTCCAAGTTCTCCACGGGGCATACATTATGTTGCTTAGAAGTTGAAAGACATACCTCAGAGAAAAGTAGCATATCATCCAAGTCGTCTCATAGGCAATGGGTGGATTTGAAGAATCGTCCAGTGGAGATCGAGAAGCGAAATTCACGGTGACAATCTCGGAGGTGAAGGGTGGTGATGAGGCTCCCGAGCAAAGATTATTCACGTTGTCTATAGCGACGACCGGCTTTATCTATTTTAAGCTAAGTCAAACGACAACAAAATTCCTTTTTCGCTCGATTCCGCACACAAGAAACGAAGTCAAATGACAACGGAGAATCGACTCCACACTCAAGCAACGAAGTCGAATGGCAATGGATTATCAACTCCGCATGCAAGCAGCAAAGTCGAACGGCAACGAAGAAATAAATAAGATAAAAATCAAACCTTGGACGCCTCCTAAGAAGTGATGTTGTGTAGGAACGAAGGAGACAAAGAAGCTGCTGCCTGTGAATTACTTTCTCGCTCGATTTGATCGGGTTTACTTTACACCAAAAATGATCTAACGTCGGAGTTTTGAATACACCGCAAAATTGATTTACTTTACTTCGGTGGCCAATCAAACACCAAAAAGTTAAAAAGCAAAGCCCTTATTATGCATTGTTTTTACTTTTCTTCCATCCAAACAACCCCTAAGCAAGTTACCAATTTTATGCAATTCAATCATGGAGATTATGACCCCACGTTTTTCCTCTATGAACCTATGTAATGATATGTATTTTAATGTTCATAAATATGGAGTTATCTAATTAAAAAAAAAAGGAGTGAATTATATTAGGAAATCATATTTGGTTGGTTTAATATGTTAGTGTTACTGGGTGGCAATGTGTGTTTTTCCTTAAGCTACGGTTATTAATCCAAATCTTCTGGCCAATTTAAATCAAGAAGTGACATCGACTTTAATCCAAATTAAAAAAAAAAAACTCACAATCTTAGGCCGCCTAGCCTAAAGGGTATAGTCATAAGACCTTTTTGTAGGTTTTTCTATTTACATAAATATTAGACCTACATTTGTGTCTCCTAAAATTAGGATTTTAGGTCTCCACCATCTATCAAAATTAAGTTAAGAATTGAATGTAAAATTAGGATTTTAGGTCTCCAACATCTATCAAAAGTAAGTTAAGAATTAATTCAATTCAAACCGAACAATTAAGGCACAACCTTGGGCCACCTTAGGTTTAGGCGAGGTTGTAAAATCCATATTGTGGGTCTACCTACGAATTATAAGTTGTAAGTTTTGTCATTTGGCATTTCCAACCTGCATACCCCAATCTCGTGTTTGAGTTAACAAAACTCACTCAATCATACTTTCAAAATACAAATACAACTTTAAATCAAGTTGGCGCAAAACCTCACATGATTAAACTTTACTTTTAAACAAAACCAATATTAATCCCAAATTTCCCATATGCATTTTCTGAAATTGAGTAAATAAGTTCTCAAATTAACCTAAAGCCACTTAAATTCACCATCCTAAAACTCCCAGTACTCTTAACTTGAATGATCATTTCATAAATAAATCTTTAATTCCCAAAATTTATAAGCCGAGTTTATACCAAATATAAGAATTTCAAATTTTATGGACTTTAGAGGTGGAAATTATCAAATATTCATCACCATCATCCAAATATAGAAAGAAATATTTTTTTGTATTGTTATAAAATAATAATAAATAAAAGATTTTGCTATTTGTCTTCTTTATCAAGTAAGGAGCATTCAACAAGAATTTTAATCAACATGAAACCACTGCCTTTCCAAATGAGCTCAGGTGAAATTTAGAAAGAAGGATCATGAAGATTTTTGCCTCCCCTTTCTCTCTTTTATGCCCCAATTTTACCAAATCCTAAAATATTTGGGTTGTGTTTGTAATAAATACATAGACTTCAAACCCAGGGTCATCTTAAGCAAGTATAGAGATGCAAATTCACTTATATAAACAAATCAAATCTGATATAAACCAATGAAATCTGAGTATACTCTGGATATTTTGTTGGAAGTGACCCTATTAATTAGACTCCCTCGATGATGTGTTTTCCAACCTTATGTTATTGGTAGAATTCATCCACTAAGTTCTGGAGTAACGAGACTATGAGATCTTGATTGGGTTGATCATCCATCTTTATCATTCCCCTAATATAAAGCTAACAAAATGCGATGATATCTCTAATCAAGATTTTTTGTAGACATCAATTTTGGATGCAATTAATTATAAGGGCTTGCATCCATCAGAAATCGATCCCCAAAAATAAATAAATAAATATTTTTTGACTTCACCAATTACTGGGGGATATCTTTGAGACCTTATCCTAATCTGCCTTTGAAACTTTATGCTACTCGATTTGCATTTTTTGATGCTTTAGTAGAGTGAGTATGGAATGAATCACATTGTGAGCTCATAAGTGTCCCTTTAGTGCCCCATAATTATCATCTAATTCTCTAAACCTCAAGTCTTCCTTACACAGAGATGATCATCATCTTCAACCGGTTAAGAAAAAATTTAGTTCATGCTAATGTTGGTTTAGGCAATGGGAGCAACAAGAGACTAATATACTGAGGAATGGATGCAAAAAAATTTACCTTAAAGCAATGGGAAAAGGGACATTGGACTTAATAGGCGCAATCATAAGGGCTTTCTTAATACTTATAGCTTCATGTAGGGCTTGAGAATTACATAATTTCATCTTTCGTAATGTTGGTCCTAATTCATTTGATAAATATCGACTCAAAATTCTAATGGTTTGCTTATGTATTATGATGATTACCCGTAGAATATGAGATGAGGAACATCTCATATTATTCAAAAACATTGTTTATTTTGTGTGAAGTTATTAATTAAGAATTAACTTTTTCTTTTGGTAAGGTGATAGGAGCTTGTATTTATTATCATTTCCAAAGCGTACAATATAGCATCTATTAATGATCTGCAAACATGATATAGCTAAGTATTTCAATTTAGCTTATGCTATTCTAGTTTTTATGAAAATTTGATATTATAATGAGTAACCTAAGGTTCTTGGTTGGTTAGCAATATAAGAATTTCCTGAGGGCCTTGTTGCATGACGATAATCATTGTCATGATGTATAATGATCATATATATGATGGTATGGATCCATGGTGAAAATATGATAAGTTATGATAATATATATGATGCAAAAATATAACCAACGGACATGAACGTCATGAATGTAAAGCTTTTGCTTTTGTTTTTAAGAAAGAGAAGTGTTGAATCATAGCCGTTTCTTGCTATTTATACTAAAGGCAAGTGTTGAGTCATAGCCGTTTTAGTTAATGCCAGTGGGTCATAAGTAGAATTTCATTAATTTATCTAAAGGAAGAGTATGTTGAACAACTATAATATGGAACTTAATTATAATTTTAGAAAGTTAGAGTTGTGGAGGGTGGATAGGCATGCATAGATTTAGTTGTAAAGCACGTTTTATAGTCGGTGGTGATGATTTTTTTATTGAGTTTTTTAATGATGGGTTATGTTGTTGATCATGATTTAAATGTGTGCACCTCACAGCTTTAGTTTAAACATCATATCAATTGAACTCTTATAATGTATTATTAGATACAAACAAAAACTTATTTTTCTGATATGTTATTGATGGGGACATCAACAAGAGATTATGATGCGTTTATCAGAGGAAACATCGGAGATCGATGACAATGATGTAGAGCCTTTACTTTTGATGCACTTTATGTATTATTTATTTATATTTTCAATTTTTTCGATTTTACCCCTATGCTATTGTAGCCCAAGGGGCATTCCAGTCTATTTTATTTTTTCATTTCGAGGCCTATATATATAGCCCCTTCTTATGTATTTGGATGATGATTGATTGAATAAAATTATGAGTTTTTCTTTTTCCCCTGAATGTTGAGTTTTTGAGAGAAGAAGGAAGGCCCTAGGTGTGGACAATCGCAATACCCGTCAGCATTTGGAAGGGTCAAAGGCTCGCGGCTCCACTTTTGTCTCCTCCGACCTCTCCCCTCTCTCCCCCACACCGCCGGCTTGCTCCCTCTTCCACGACACCCTCATTTTTCTCCTACCCGACCACCACCACAAGACCCGCCGGCCTCCCTTGGCCTTCTCTCCCCCACCACCTGTACCCCCACCTTGACTCAACCACTAATTCCCTACCAAACCCCCCAAGCTCCACCGTGGGCCACATGTCCCTCTCTCCTTGAATGATGAATTAAATCATCGTTACTGCGTACCTAAAATAGCCTAAATGATTTGGGAAATTAATTTCAACAATTTGAAATTCAAAATTTGAATTTCAAATAGTTTCCTAAATTGCAAAGCTATATTAGGGAAGTCTTGAATCTAATCTCAATTTAAAATTTAATTGGAGTGATTTATTCTCTTCCTAAATTAGAAAGATCAATTCGGAAGCTCTTATAACTATTCCCAAATCACCCAACCTCTCATAATGGCACCCCCATCCCCCTAATGGGCTTTCCCCGTTGCTTCCTATTGAGGCTCCCAATCACATTATAATTTGAATTCAAATTTCAAATTAAGTCCCTCCAAATCTACTTAGAATTTGAAATTAATTTCAGATTTGGTTAAAACTTTCCCTTCCTTTCTCTTACCTAACCCAAGTCGCCTTCATCCAAACCGTCCCCCTCTTCTCTCTCCCTTGGCCGCCCTTCCCACTTGTCTCCTTCCCCCTTGGAAACCCTACTCCTCTTATGTCTTTGGAAGCCAAAAGAAGAATTCAAGCTCCTCCCTCCTCATCATTGGTGTATAGCCGATCCTGAGATCGACCACGGTTTTGCCTACAACACACAAGGAGAAATCGATATTCTACTTTCTCCTTTCTACGATCCGGATTGGGAGTACGGAGACTCCGCGGAGATTTACGTCAACCGTATCCTCTTCTGCCTCGCTGAGACGATTGAAGATCTACAACCCAAAGTACCTTGGCTTCTCATCGGACGATCCACTCCTCCATTGCCGACTACCTTCCTTGGATCAAAGCCATTGGTGTTGCTACCGTCTTAGTGGCATTGTTTAGTGTGCTGAAAGCCTCTCTCTGCTAAAGCCTTATATTGAGTGTGAGTGAGAATGGTAATTCTAGGTGAAATTTCTAAATATTAAGGTTTGGATTTTATTCCGTAATATCTAGTGTTATTATGATATTTTTTGAATTTCCTTAACTTGTTCTAATCTCCTAATTTTTGTAACTGCATACCACGACAAAATTAATAATTGAGAATTCTTATAATCATGCCTTATGGCTCATTAACCTAGAGTAAGCAAGCTCCACAAACTTTTATTGATTCCTTTTAATTCTTGTTGGTTTCACACCAGTTATTTTGCTTATGTAGTTGACACAACAGACAACAGTACAAGCTACAGGCGTTGCCTCAAATTTGGTCGAGATTATACAAAGTGCAGGCTTCAAGTTGCAGACTCTTAGTTTGAGTTTTGAAGATGAGGAAGATGGCATTAACTAAATTATGTACATTGAACTTTTGTGCTATCTGTTCTATTTATCTTTCTTTCTCTATTTTTTTTTATTGTAATGACTTTAGATCATAGCATTTATCTTCTATCAAATATTGCTTTCTGTTCTTATAGTTCTGAATTGAGTACTTTGCCGAGGAACTTCCAACGTGTAGTGTTGCATTTGTTGCATTTGTTGAATAGTTTTTGATGATTATAGATGTCAAATGAAAATCATGTAATAATCTGAATTTCAGCATTGTATCTTGTCGAAGAAAAAAGAGAGAAGAGAGAGAAGGTTGTTCGGGACTTCTACATCCGTCAATTTTATTCATATATGCAATTGTTAGTTACTTTCACTAGATATATGTTTTTTAGTTTGATTATTTATAGAAGTTCTGGTTGATTAATTAAGAAGATAAAATAGATAATTTTTTCAAATTTGATTCTGAGGCATCACAAAATATTCCCACATATTTTATTTGCCTCACATATCTTATTTGCATTCAGAATTTAGTCTGGTAAAAGGAAATGTTCTTAATAAAGTTTGAATTCTAATAGTGATTTTGGTTTTAATTCCATTGGCAATTTTAGGAATTTTTTTGCAAGTCTGTGATGATAGCTATGGAGTATTCTTAGTGTAATTTTTTGACTGTATCACCTGAAGATGATGAATTTTTTTTGGTTTATTAAAAAATTTTCACCTTGGACAGTGCAGTCATAAATTTTGTTTTTCTCCTCATAGATGATTGTTTTAGCAACGAGTCGAGCCGAGTCAAGTTGAGTTTTAGCATTATCGGGCTCAACTTGTTAGTTCGAAAGCAAACTCGTCCCATTGAAAACGAGCTCCAGCTGGCTCGTTTAGCCGCTCACTTTTGGCCTGTTTTCAACTTCCGGCCAGATTTTCAATTTTAGTCATGGTTTCCTGACCGATTTTTGTGTTCCCACATGGTTTTTTTTCCCATCCGGTTTTAATTTAGGAGAAAAAGAAGCTACATCTTTCTGTACTATAACTAATGTTGTTGCTTTGGAAATGCATCGTTTAAATTTTATATGATTCTTTTTTTTGAAATTTTTTCTATTTTAATAATAATTAAAACTCCAGCATTTATTATGAAATCCTTTTTTAAATCGAGTTTTTTATTTATTTTTAAGCCTTTTTTTTATAAAAGCTTCAACATTGCAAAACATTTAACCCTTTTTTTTTGCTTCACCCATTTATTTTTTAAGATTTAAATTTAATGAAAATATTAATTATTTAATTTTTTTTTGGGACATTTAGGACAAACTCACACACACAATGCATACACATAGACTCGAATCTTGGACCTCTTAGTTGGAAGCCTAAGCTCTCAACCAATAGGCCAAGGAGAGTTGTGTTAATTATTTAATTTTTAAAAAACTTAAAAATTATTCGAGCTAATTTACGAGCTAGTTAGGCTCACTTACACACCTAACAAGAAGGAGGCACTTTGACATTATCTATGATTTTAAGTATATTTTTGTAATTTTGGGTCCTATTTTTGGTTCTTGAACTTTTTCCCCAAGCAAAAATCAATAAGTCCGACCGACTTTCTTTTGTTTTTCTTAGCCGTCGGATAAGATCCAACGACTGATAAGCCACAAACAGATGTCCTTGAGCGCTCCAGCTGTGTTTATAAATAGATAGCATTACAGATGAAAAACCCTAACTCATTAGTTTAAGTATGAGGCGGCAGGAGCGGCTGGTCTTTTTCTCTTGCTTCTCCAACGCCGATGATTATTTAGATGCGCGCGCGATCTCTCTCTTTGGAGAAATTATTCTGTTCGGTCTCCGGACGGTAGCTCTAGGAGGGCGATGACGATGAAATCAAACAGGAAAAGCGATCTTAACCCCGGTTAGAAATTCTTCCAATGATGCTTTAGATAATGCGATGGTGCCGGAGCAGCATGGATGGCCCGCTCATCTCAGGGAAACCGCTGCGTCTGTGCGTCACCGTAAGATAACCGGTGGGTAGATCTGCTTGAGGATGGAACCAACGCGAATCTGAGCCCCCATCTCCTTATTTCTTTGCCGATCTTCTCTGAAATAGGTTTTCCAGAGCTCTGCATGAATACGTGAGTGTTGTAGTAATGCTTTACCAGAAAGAAATCATATCTCTAACTTGTTTGTTTAAGGGGCTGTTTGGTTGCAGCATTAGGGCATGATATAAGAGGCTATTTAGTGGTAGGTTTTGAGCAGGTTTAATGCTAAATTTAAATCAAATCCTGCCAAGCAGTTTTTGCTGGGTTTTCACTTGAATTGCAGGTTTCTTAAATTCAGGGGAGATCGGATTTAATCGATTTAGGGGTTGCTTGGTAGCAGCATTTTCCATGATTTAAGAAGGATTAATATAAACTGTGATCATTTTAAAGGAGATTTACATGCTTCTCAAAACAATACAAAAACGGAGTTTTCAAAAAAATCTGCTACACATCCAAACATCTTCCATGACTGCGTTTTCCAGTTTCAAACGGAAAAAGGAGAAATAACGTGGAAACAAACGAGCCCTTGCTTTTTTATCATCTAAATCCTAGAGGATCTTAAATCTCATTCCTTCCCCGGTTTACGTTTGTTCTCTCATTATTTTTTTACTTGAAAGCTGTTTTACGGAGCTGTAAGAAAGCTGTCCCAAACGAAACCTTAACTTAGATCCACAATTCTCAAGAACTCGTCTTCTGTTTTACATGCCGCTGGTCGAACCGGTCGCGACTTTCGGTTCTATGTCGTCGAGGGTTTCAGCAATTTTAAGCAGGGGCATTTTGGGCCTTGGGGGTGAAAGGTTTTGGGTCTGAATTTTAAAGAAATAAATATTCATTGTGAGCCCTTTTCATTAGAGCTACCTGAATTTTTCCTGCAAGTGTTTCTCCTCACTAAATAAATACAAGTGTTACTCCTGCTACGTTGGATGGGCTTCCTGAATTTTTTTATTCAATATGTTTTGTTTAAAGTTAATTTTTCATTAAATCTTAGAAGAAAATATCATTTCTATTACTTTGTAAACAAGTCTTTATATGTCTACCTCTACTTTTTTTAACATATGAAAGAAAGTGGCATGTATGTAAATTCCCCAATTTAATAAATCTACTCAGGTCATTGAAATGCAGATATTTTATCACTAATATGTTCAGTTCACAATGTATCTTTGTGTAAAGCCACTCATGATCGTTCGGAGGCGAATCAAAGCGTTCCACGTCATCTAGTACATAGCTGCGGTACGTAGCAAAAGTGTGATGTGGTGCGCTCTGATTTGCCTCTGTGTAGGTCCACACATAATAATTTTTTCATCCTGTGTGCTTTCTCATCTCCGCTACACTTAATTTAATTTTATGTTTTTCTTTTAATGCCCAAGATTATGTGTCATAAAGCATTATACGTCTCATCACCATTGTATAGAATTTTTCCTTCAGTTTGAGGAGTACTTTTCTTTGACACAATAGTGCCGATGCATTTCTCTATTTTAACCATATTTCTTAAATTCTACTAATAATATCTTCATCTATTTGACCATCAGTTTGAACAATAGACTTGAATGATTGGTCATTTATCATGGAATGCAATTTTCCTTCACCCTATTGAGGGTTGTGGTGTAATTTTTGTACTAGAAAGCTACTTTAAGAAGCAGTGAGAAAGCCGTCCCAAACGAAGCCTTATGGTTCTATGCTATCCTCTTTAATTTGCACGGAGCAGTTTGGAGGGCCCTTGCATCTGCAGGCAACCACTGCGTCTGCGTGCCATGTGAAGAATAAACAGATGTATTATCTTCGTGATGGAGGAGATGTGAATTTCTTCCTTTTGTTAGTTAGTATTTTTGGGTTTAGCAGTTTCAAGGATGTGCTTTCATGGATTTGTGCCATCCATTTTAGATGAAGAATAGCTTTATTGTACCCATCTCATCTAATTCAATGATTAGAAGTTCTTTCTGGATTTCCTTATCCATTTTATCTCCATAATCCCTCGCTTACTATAGAACTTTTATTACGTCCTCTGAGGACTGTTACTCGGTTTTTGCTCGGTATTTTTTCGGTATTGCTAGGTATTCTTTGGCAATAACGAGGAATACCGCTCTGTGAAGATCAATACCGAGTAATACCGAGCAATACCTAGTAATCCCAAAAAATACTTGGTATTTTGTCTTCACGTAATGGTATTTGCCGGCCGAACGTAGCTCTACGGACGTTCACCAGACCAAATAAAAGTTCCTTACTATATGGTTTACAACTAGCTCTTTCTGCCACTTGTATCCTCTTCTCGATACGTAAGGTTGGCATGGATGAATGTATTTTGTCTTCACGTAATGGTATTTGCCGGCCGAACGTAGCTCTACGGACGTTCACCAGACCAAATAAAAGTTCCTTACTATATGGTTTACAACTAGCTCTTTCTGCCACTTGGTATCCTCTTCTCGATACGTAAGGTTGGCATGGATGAATCTAAAAAATGGTTCAATTTCTAGTATGAAACTCCAGAAGAATAATATGCCTAATCCAACTTCTTGGAGTTTCTCCTTTCGAAAGCCACGACAACCCTGAATAAGAAATATTCTATTTTGCTACTTCCGTAATATCTCTCTCTCTCTCTGCACTATAGGCGATGATGATGAAAAATTTTAATCTGATCTTTACCACACCTAAAGTTGAGCAGGATTCATTTCTATGGTGCTTCAGGAATATCCTATATTCTTATCCATTGACGATGTAGTTGCTTGGATGGCCCGTACATGCACGGGCAACCGCTCCATCCTTGCGTTATTGGCAGAGAACTAGCTGGCAGAGGGCTGACCTGCGAAATGATTGAACAAAGGCGAATCTGAGCCCGTTTCATTTACTTACTTTTCTATGGAACATGTTCTGAAGCAAACAAATGAGCCCATAAGAAC